CACTGTGAGCGTGGTATATGAGCACACAAATACAAAGTTACCAAGATAAAGACACATTACTTATTAGAATGTTGTGGCATAGACACACATTTCTGCAAAATGACCTGTGTGACCATGTTCTGTAACACTAATGATGTGTCCTCGTACATAAAACACCAACCTGGATGAAAAACATTAGTATCTAATGGAGCGGTGTATACATACAGGAAGAGGGCACCAAAAACATCAAACTGGAAGAATGTGGCTCCAGCCCTCCTGTGACCCTCTTCAGGATAGGTGGTATAAATAATGGATGGATGGATTTGAAGAATGCTACACTCTGCTCATGGCTCCACAGGGATTTAAAGTTTTCTGCTACTAGTTTTATTCTTCTATTCACTGGTGGCTTCTGATTCAGTAAAGTCCAATTGATGTAAATGTGTTTTCAGGCATTTGGTCATGAACCAAAGTTTGGGATAAATTAATATTTTGACTCAGTGGTGGTACGAGCTTAAAAGATATTGGATGAACATGTTTATTATAATTGATCACGAGGAACAGCATGGACATCTGGATCAAACATACAGTAGAAAAGTCAAGTAATCAAGATATTTCACTCAAAGCCACAAATTCAACCTCATGGTGGCCATGGGAGAAATGTCAGGGGATCGTTATTATGATTCATCATTTGGAATTTCTTTTGGAAATCCATCTACTAGTTGTTTAGATATTTCAGCCTGGAACATAGCTGTGCACCAACCAGCAGGCATAGTGACATGTCAGGGCCTGTTAGTGAAGATTCATTGCTAAACCAGGAGATATGCTGTACAAAGTCCAGGCAGACCTGTGTTTATGTGTAAGGTATCGCAATTTAAATTCATGGCACTGCTTGGCAGAGACACAAACCTAATATGCAATAAAAGCATCTGCTGAGCAACATTTAGTGAGTGTACATTCTTTACTTAGTTTAGTACTTTATTTTCTATGACACTGACTCCAGTCACAACAAAACAAGACAAGATTGAAAAGGTGCTCATGAAGGCACTCGGGGGGATTCAGGGCTTAGAGAAAGACTGAATTTTCTGCTTCACATCTATTAACACTGCTGGAACTGAATTTCATATATGAAAAGACTGAACGCACATTCTCCTCAAAGTCAGTCTCACATGCATTCCTAATGAAGCAAGTCCAGGCTGTAGATCATGGGGAAGCCCTGGGTCTGTGTCTGCAAGCAACTCTGGACAAGACCTGATCATGTATCTAAATACTAACTGAGCTGCCAGAGGCAAAAGTAATAACATGGCTGTAGCTAACCCATGTTACCCTATTTTGTTACATATAAAACAATGCATTTGCTACAATGTGTGTGCGGACGTGAGGCTTGTCACTTTCTGACTACATGACTTACACTTCTACAGTAGTTGCACTTTCACACTGTGAAAAGGTTGTTGTAGCTGCTGCTCTGCTGCTCACCCCAGCTTTCCTCTCTAAAAGTGTGATCCCACCTATCAAAGAAAACACACTTAAGTCTGAGCATGACCTTTAGCCTTTATGTCTTCTGTCGTGAGAGTAGACAATCTGAGTAAAAAGGGTAAAAAGATGTTTCACTTGCTTAGAAAAGAAGTGGAGAAGTCAAAGTTGCAAAGGAAGAGGATTAGCTCTTGTGCTGGATTTTTCATTCATAGTTCAATCAATCAACATTTATTTTTATTGTACTTAAGTACCCTGGACAGGTCGTCAGTCTATCACAGGGCTGATATGTAGACAAACAACCGCTCCCACCACTGGATCTACAAGCCAGTGTAAACAGATAAGTCTTTATCTCCCTCCCTTTGTTGTCCACTTGTTGCTGGAGTGAGTTTTTTTTTTATCTGTGGTCACCGTTAAATATTTTCTTCTCCCTGATGGTTTTCTGGTCAGCATGTTGTTCTAGTATTCATGTACTGTATGTTTATCACATTCATGTTTGGACTCAAGTCTGTTCAGCAGTTCTGCTTCATGTTCCCTGAATCTGGTTTAGATAAAGACTTGCATTCACCCCTTTCTGCTAAGAATATGATTTGATCTCTGTGTGTTCAGCTCTTTGTTTTTGTGTTTGGTGGGTTTTGTTTTATACATTGCTCAGATACACTTGCAGTTAGGAGACACTTGTTTTAGTTTCATTCCTACTTTCTTATTTCAAGATACAGTAAATGTTTGAGCTCAAGTTCCCAGTTAATCCTGAGCTTACTCCTGTTATAGTGAAGTTTTGTGTTATGCTCCTTTTTGTGTTTATTCTTTTTGTTTCTAATACCTTACAGTAATACCAGTTTGCAGAATATTGTTGTACCTTTTTTTTTTTTTACCTATTCCAAGGTTCTCATTGTGCTTGTACTCACTTTGAAACATAATGCAGATGTTGTACAGAATAATAGGAATTCAAGCTCACACAAGGGATGTCAAGATCATCATCTAATCATGACTTAGACATCCCTTGTGTGCACTGGAATTTCTATTACGCTATGGATTTATTGTCCTGCTCCTGCTTGGCACCCTGTTGGATGCACTGTAAGCATCTGTGCTACAACCTTTTCATCGCTCAAACATTTAAGTCACATGCATCATGTACAGTACATTATTACTTATTGGCTTAGTTTCATTGTAATTTGATGCATTTTGCTTTTATAAAAGCACTAACTTGTCCACATCACCCAAGCATAAAAGCCTTTTTTGCAACATTTTTGAAAGGTGTTTTATGGGTGTCATCAGTTTTTTATGTGCATTTTCATTTTTTGAATAAAACAGCTGGACAGAACTGCAATTACTGACTGTCAGAAACACAACTCCATATAATTGATAATTGTGACCCATGGTGGATACGTAAATACATGTTTGGGTTTGTTCAATAACACCTTCACTATATAAACTTTAAAGGCAATAAAGGATATGTCAGTGTTGTATTTACAGCTCGCTTTGCTGCTTAAGTAGCAATTTACCAACAAAGGAGCTCACTTTAACTTCTTTTAGATTATTAACGGAGGTCTGTAATGGTCTTCTTGCTTGTATGTAATCTTGTTACTTTTTCAAATTACAGTAGCTGCAATCTTGTCATTTTTCGTACCATACATGTACAGTAGACTTTGATGTAATATGATTAAATATGCTGAGATAGATGCAATGGGATAAGCCTTGGCATAAATCACATGTCTGACCTTGTGTTTGATGATTCTGCATAGGATATAGTTTTTATGTTTATTATAATTCTATCATGGGCTCAGGGCCACTATGTTATATATTAATGTGTTGTGTGTGATGAAGGCAGGAAGGAGTTTCTTTCAGTTGAACTTGAAAAGACAACACACAGACACAGCTGTAATTATAATAGGTGCACATGCAGAAAAATGCACATAAAAACACATACATGCCCACACTCACAATTATGCAAACATTTCTAACTCCAAACCCAGTGGGCTCAGCCAAAAGGACATTTATTTATCATGAGCTGATGGCAGTCTAGCATACTAACATGACAATGTGTCCTGGCCAAAGACAAAGGGAGACAGAAGGAGAAAGAGAGTGGTGGTTTACACACCGAAGCAAATGGGAGAGGAAGAATGAAGCGCTGCGGGTGCTCTTGTAATGGTCTGAGGACATTACTGCACCTGATGTTCGCAGGCAGTGCTGCAAGAGTACAGGACAAAGACATGGAAGAAAGAAAACATAGCGGGAACAAGTAGATAGAGGGCCAAGCAGGAGAGAGGACAAAAAAGAGATCAACAGGGAATGAGGAAGTGGCACATGGGGAGGGAGTAAATTAAAGAAGGAAGATGGAGTTAGAGGAAGTGCGAGTGAGTGAAGCCTGACTAAGAGAAAGACCAAAGGGCAGAGAGAAGAGCATTAAGACAATGAAGCAAACAAGACAGGGGTGGTATATACATACATGCATAAGCTAACAGCTCATAACTACATTACACCACCAACTTAAAACATCTCCATACATGCTAATGAGGTCACACACAGACTCCCACATGCCTGCACATGCACAGGCACGTCCTGTTGGTGTTACGTGTGTGGCCCTGATGGTGTTTTCCTCCCGTCCACAGCACCACACTAAAGCTCAGGCAAATGTCTCATTAGAGATAAATACATGATGCAGTATGTTCTAACAGTGCTGTTAGATGCAGATATTTCTGTCTTTCAAAATACACATTCTGTTTGCAGTAATACAGACACCTGAGCAGCGGCATACTGTAGTGTGACCCCATTGGCACCCACAAGCTTGTCAGTGTGCATTCAAACAACAAAATGGGAACACACAAAAATGTAGTGCTAACGAGATATTAGAACATAACTTTGAACAATATCTGTGTGATTTGTTGAACTCAGACTGCTTAAGCCTCCTATTTTGGCTAAACTGGACACCTGATTTGGATGTGCTGTAGTATTCTTAGAATAAATTGGTGTGAATACCTCATTTATTGTTAAATATAGCCTTATCCAAAGCAGAGGAACTTCTGGTCTAAATTTCAGAAGCTTTGTTAATATCATGGATGGATGGATCACTGAATAGGCTGCAGGGCCCTGGACTGAACAAAGAAACCCAAAGGACCACAAGGAGCGACAACAAATGGAGTTGCCATGTCTAAGCTCATTTGTCTCATAAACCCTCTGTGACTATAGACTATTTGCAAACAGCAGCTACAGTAGGCCTATTTGTGGATATAGTTCCACATTAGAATATAATATGCACAGTTTATTTGTCCTTCTTTTATTACACTGAATAAACAATATGACTGTTGCAAAGAACCAGGACTTTAAACTTGAGACTTATTGCATTTTTACCCATTTTTGTGTGCCCCTTCTTTAAAACTGTGCAGCAGTATGGTTTGATGATGATGACTGAACCCTATGGCAAAATGGTGAAAACCTTGAACTAACTAAAAAACTATTCGAACCTCGAGGGGGCGGGGCATGTTGACCTCTATCTCAGATTCTCCTGTGGGAGTGAGATTGTGCAGCATCAGCACCACGGTCACCACCAATAAAAAGGATGAAGATGAGTTTGAACTGAGTGGAGAGGACGAAGTTAACGGAATTGCGCAGCAGCAGCAGCAGCAGCCAGCAGACAGGTGGCTGTCACCATCACCGCGCACGGACACGACAAGAAATACGCAGAGGACAAGCTCGAGACGCTTAGTATAAAAAATGCAGCTGAGCGCAGAGACAGGGAAAGACAACTGAATCCAAAGTGACTTGAAATGACGGTCGACTCAAACCCGAGGAGACAGACATCTTATGTGTGCGCGCGTTTCCCTTAGACAAGGAAAGAGAGAGAGAGAGCGAGAGAGCAGTCAAGACAACGCTTCACTTCCTCGAAGTTTGACATCTCCACCGGGCAACAGGAGGAGTTCGTCTCCGCCACTATGGAGCCTCGGAAGTCTCTTGTATCAGTATTGACTGGAGTTTACCTGTGGGCGACAATCTTCTGTCAAGGTGAGTCGCGGATGAAGCTTTCAGTCTGTTATCTGTTATCATGAGATGCCAGGAGGGACGTGATGCGGCTGGGTTTTTATGTCATTTGAGTATAACTGACCTAAACAGCTGTCATCAAGATGAGAGTTGTAGATCAGACATCCATAGGCTTAGTTTAATGCACATCTGGTGTGCCAGGAACATCTGCATTCATAATTGTAAAATGCACAGGACTTGTCAATACACACTTTTGTTGGATTCTTTTTTCCTGATCATATTAATTCAGAAAAGTAATTTAAAGGACGGTTTAAGTGATCTTACCATGTTATGGCACTTACATCAGTATGACTGTACCTTGTGTTTAAAGGCAGAATGCCTTCATTGCCAGTACAATAAATTGTTATATAACTACATTTTCAAGCTTGCACAGCATGGATCAGTGTGTTTAGGCCAGTGAGGCTTTTTTTAATAGACCAACAACATCTGGTCCGGAATTAGGAGGGTGTCCTGGTGATGGTGCGTGAAGCCCACTGGGGCCATTCATCCCTTCAGTGTAATCTTCTGCTAAAGGACTGTTAAATGCATGACTGAAGTGAAATGGAGCTAGAGAACCCTCAGAGGAAGACAGATCTCTGTAATAAATCCTTGGTTTATGTCTGTAGATGGATATGTTTTTCAATATGGAACCTTTTGGCATGTTGGCTCTGTCTGACTAGAGCAGAGGGAGAGGAAAAAGAGGCCGTGACATAGAAACACATCATATATCCAGAAAGATCTTAACGCTCAGGCTCAGAAGTCGATTAGATTACAGTTAATGGAATATTTTGTTAATTGGAAAAGGTTTATATCCTTTGTTTCCTCATCTATAAGCTCCAACATGTGAGGGTAAAGGTAAGCAGGCTGCAGCTTGTTTGTATCATTGCAGTCTCTTCTAACAGGTTGTACAGTGTTGTAGAACCGCACACAAACCAGATTAAAGAGGGCTTTACCTTAATTTAGCTAATATTTTATGCTCCCTATGTTTATGCTCTGCTGCTAGAAAAGCCCAAGAACCATTTCTTTAACACAAAAATTAAGTCAGACATCCATAAAATCCCTAACAGGGTGCCACAGGGATGGCATACCTTTGCGGACCAACCCAGAATTTAGCATCACCCTGGCTACCTCAGCAAAAAGCCAGTGGGATTTTTCCATAGGCTTTTGCATTAATGCAGAAAATAAGCTCTGTGACAAACAGTTTATGATAGTTATATGTTTTGTTCAGCAAGATAAGCTTCACAAGTGAACACCACTTTTATGATGTTTGAAGCCCAAATATGATCGCCAGAAGTAAAAAGCTATTGATAGGCTATAAACGAACTACCCCATGGTCTCAGGACTTCACTGTCGCCACTACGGCTTCCAACTTGTAATTGGAATTAACATGCTTACCTCTTCTAAAAAGTCCTTTGCTCTTAGCGTGACCTGATCTAGTCAGTGATCATGGCTGTGTCTGTCAGGTCCGCTCAGTGTGACCTGCCTCTCTTCTGTCTTTCTCCCTCCTGCTCTCTCTTTTTTGTGGGATCAGTGCCTCAGCTGTGTCGCTTGCTGTAATTAGTGACTTGTGGGTTGTCGCGCACAGCTGAGGTGACTTCCCTACCTTATTTTAACCTCTGGCAGATGCTTCGTTGTCGCTGGAGCATTACCTAACTTGCACTATGTTGGACACGGACATGTTGAGGTAGTATGTGACAGAGGTGGGACCAAGTCATTGTTTGGCAAGTCATAAGTCAGTCTCAAGTCGTCGTCTCCAAGTCCCAAGTCGAGTCCCAAGTCAAGACTGGCAAGTCCCAAGTCGAGTCCCAAGTCAAGACTGGCGAGTCCCAAGTCGAGTCCAAAGTCAAGACTGGCGAGTCCCAAGTTGAGTCCAAAGTCCTAAACTTTGAATTTCGAGTCCTTTTAACCACAGAGTAATAATATGACAGATCATGTATACATCTAAATTCTGCATTTATTTATCAAAAGACATTTGATGAAACAAACAAAACTTACAAAACTAGTGCTAATACTGTAAATCTATATTGCACTAGTAACCAATTCCATATAACATATTTGGAGGAAGATTGTTCCTGAACTTATTACTTCACAGAATAAACTAAAGGTGCAAAAGTATAACTGAAAATATTTGCACAAAAAGTGCTGGCATGTGTAGTTCAACCACTGAAAACCACAACAATGAAGGTGG